AAAAAAAAAAAAAAACACTAGCATGATAATCAACAACAATATTGAAATACAAGAATATAAAAATAATAAAGCCGAAAACAAATATGAAATAACACTTACATTTTGCACTTATAGTTAAAATCCTCATATACTAAATAGAATCTAAATATAAACATCAAAAATAGATTTCATGTGCTTAATTCAAAATGACTCAATTTAATAATATTCTCATTGCTCTTACCAAAAAAATCAAGTCGTCGGCTACAACGACGAACTCGTCAGATGCCACCTCAACCATCTTCATGTAGACTAGGGTGCCGCCGCAACCCTTGACCATATCGAGATAGGCGTCGATCTCTTCGGCATTTTCGATGATGAGGTCAAATCGAAAATCTCAACGGACGACCCGAACGTCTTCAGACCGACATTGGCCGACCCGAATCCTTCACATCCCCCTTTAAATATCCTTCTCCTGAATCCTCATCACCATTGGCATTTTCGATTTTTCGCCTATTTCTCCCTTTTTCATTCGGCGTCTCGTCTTCCACTCTTGCGCGCTTCACATTATCGTTTTCAAAATTCTCCTCCGCCGGCAACACTGTCGTGGCGGTGCCTTCTGGCTTAGTTTCATGTTTCATCGTGACCTATGGAGCCGACTCGTCCACCATTAGTGAGATTCTCAAGCAATGACCTTGAATCTTAGGCTTCATTGATGTTTGTTTCTTCTCCCCTCTCGTTGACAGTGAGAGAGATACTTGATCAGATATATTTTCATATGGTTTTTTAATTATTTAGTGGGATACTTGTCCTTAATAACTTTCACCGATTGTCTTTTTTATGGTATCCATAAATCCTATACAAATTTTAACTTAACATAAATATGTCTTAAAATTTTTTATTTTAGCTGACTTATGATCTAATTTTATTATACTTTTATGTCAACTAGTTTTTCAACCATAAGATACTAGCCATAAACCTAAAATTTATTTATAAGCTATCAATTAATTTATCAGCTATTATTTGAAGGGAATATTTTGTCTAATCCTCTCCTTGCTAGTAAACGAGGCCTTAGTTTATAAGCTGGATTACCAAAAATAGTTGAAGAGGGGTCATTTTCTCATGATAAATTTGAGGAAAATGTTAAAGCCCATCTTATTGTTAAGTCAAGTATTTAGTGGGCCTGCAGAATGTGGAGGCACCAAAGCTCCAAAAGCCCAGCCCACATCTGGTTATTTCCCATTCATTACCTTGACTGAAAAGCTCGCAAAATGTGTAGACGACAAGCAACCGGTAGACGTTCTCGGCCGGCAAGCCCCATCGCACGACGGCATTGGCGCCGTCCTCAATTCAATTTCATCTCTTATTATTATTATTTTTTTTTAATATTTTACGTTACATCAAACAACCATCCGTCCACCAATTCAAAAAGCTTCGTCTTCTTCTTCTAGAAACTTCACACAAACACAAGCACTCCAACTGCTCGACGAAAAGCCTCTGTGAAGCCGGCAAAAAGAAAAACAACCGGAAATGGGCAGCAAGTCGATGATCAAGTGGCCGAAGCAAATCACGCCGTCTCTTGTCGAGACCCTAATCCGCTCGGAGAAAGACCTCGACAAAGCGATCTCCATATTCGACGCCGCCACATTGGAGTACCCCAACGGCTTCCGCCACGACCCGACCACGTTCGGCCTGATAATCCAGCGCCTCCTCAGCGCGAACAAGTTCTTTCCGGCGGAGGACATGCTCCTCCGGATGAGGCGGGAGAACTGCGACATACCCGAAGACGTGTTTCTCTCCATCTACAGGGCCTACGCCAGGGTGCACAAGCCGCTCGAGGTTGTCAGGATTTTCCGGGAGATGAAGGATTACGGCTGCCAGCCCACGCCGAGAGCCTATGACGAGGTATTCAACATCCTTGTGAACGAGAGCCATCTGAAAATGGCATTCCGATTCTACCATAACATGAGGGAGAAGGGTATCCCTGCCAGCGTGGCCTCCCTCAACATTTTGATTAAAGCCCTCTGCAAAAGCAATGGGACTATGGAGTCTGCTTTCAAGATTTTCCGTGAGATGCCCGCTCGAGGGCACACGCCAGATTCATACACTTACGGGACTTTGATAAACGGGCTTTGCCGGGCCGGGAGGACCCTTGAGGCTAAGGAGCTTCTCATGGAAATGGAGGAAAAAGGCTGCTCGCCTTCAGTCGTCACCTACAGTTGCCTCATACACGGCCTTTGCAAGCTTAATAAACTCGAGGATGCACTAAAGTTGTTTAAGGAGATGAAGAGAAAAGGCATAGAGCCTAACGTGTACACATACAGCTCTATTATCGACGGTCTTTGCAAAAACGGGCATTCTTCTCAGGCGATTGAGTTGTTGTAGAGGATGACGCGTAAGTCTTTGGCTCCAAATTCGATTACTTACAGTTCCTTAATTCACGGTTTGTGCATTGAGGGTAAAGTTCTTGATGCCGTTCGGATTCTTGATCGGATGAAACTCCAGGATTTGAAACCCGACGCTGGCCTGTACTCGAAAGTGATAAACGGGTTTTGTGATGTGTGGAAATTTCAGGAAGCAGCAAATTTTCTAGACGAGATGGTTCTCTCGGGAATAACTCCCAATAGGGTGACGTGGGGTCTTCATGTCCGGGTTCTTAATAGGGTTGTTCAGGGTCTTTGTGCCGAGGGTCATGGTAATCGAGCCTTTCAGCTTTACCTGGGCATGCGTAGCAGGGGAATATCGGTTGAGTCGAGAACCTATGAATCTCTCGTTCACTGGTTTTGCAAGAGGGATCTGCACAAAGCTGCTCGGGTTATGGAGGAGATGATGGTTGATGGTTGCACTCCAGATAAGGAGACGTGGAGTGTGATTCTTGACGGGTTGTGGGATAGGAAGAAAGTGCGTGAAGCTGCTGGAGTTTTGTATGCTAAGATGGTTGATGAATTTCGAAACGACACGTGCAGTTGAAATATAGAAATCGGGTTTTGAATACAAACTATTTATAAAATCTTATTTGCTGCTGATATGTTACAGTTGTGGTGTGGTGATGCAGATCAACTTCCCTGGTGAATAAAGTAGATTCCAAAGCATCTTATGCTGTTATCATTTGGCTTAGCATAACGAAAATTTTCTATTTAGTCCCTGCAAATGTTCCCACTCAACTCAAGTACTTCATGCCGAAACATACTATTTATATGGTGAGGGTGTGTTTAGAGCGGTGTCTCTGGCATTTTCACATTTGCTTTAGTTTATCTTTTTTTCCGTGTCTCTGAGGTGAAGTGGGCCCAGAGGCAAGAAGGGCTTTCATCTCTATGCAAATACCCGGCCCAGAAGATGCAATGGTCAATCTTGACACGAAGAGAGTTTATCTGATCTCTGCCATTGCTTTTTACCAGGAAAACATATGCAAGCTCAAGCTGGACCATTTTGATTAGGTTACTGCAGAGGTAAAATGCTGATTGACAATCATGCATCGATGGTGTTTTGTTCTGGCGTGTCGGTGATAGTTCATAGTTGGTGGCAGCTGAGTTTTTCTTTTAGATTTATAATGTTTTCTCACAGTTTGTTGTCTCTAGTCCATTCCAACTGAATGCAAACCCATCTTTTCCTTTTTCAATTTAATTCTTCCATTTTGAGGTTTAATATCTGTAAATGTTTATGTACTTATAGTTGAAATCCATGTACGCTGCGGGTGAATTTGTAAGGGATGTTCAAATAGAAATAGGTGCAAAAATTGCACTCATTCAAGACATTTGCCGTTGTCTTGATTTACTCTTGCACGACTTCAAAAACCTTTTGTTGTGCATTGTTCCCATAACGCCCTTTAATTTTCTGTCAGCTAAGATAAAAGTGTGATAGTTGCAGGGAACCTATTTAGAGACCTTCAAGAAGAATTCCGAAAATGGGAAGAAAGCGCCTCTTCACAAGAGAAGCCAAAGAGTCTATGGAGGAGCTGGTGGTAATAAACGGATAGTGACATTCGGTTAACTTGGTTAATATAGTAATAAAGAAGAATTTTTATGCTCGTCTGAATTTGAATGAACCGTGCAAGATCAAAGCCTATCTAACAATGTCATTTTGCTCTCGGCAGGAAATCGGTGTAGAATTTGTAGAGTTCCTAGAGAAAGAGATCAACATAGAGGATGGACCAAAAAAAACCTTTCACCAGTCCTTCAGAAGAGAAAACAGAAAGCCAGGCTGGAAAAACGAGCAGCCTGGACGAGAAATATTGACGAAATAGAAGCTGCTCTTTCAAAGCTTAAGAAGGAGTTAGGCTTCTCATTAGTAGTTAGCAAATGTGCAAAAGCTGTTCTTCTTTAGGCACGAAAAGTTAAGTGAGGCCGAGTTAGAAGATTTGTGAAGTTCTAAAGCTCATTGTCTCTACATAAAAGGAACATGTATTTCTGGTGAGAAATTTAAAATGCTGATAGTGTGACAGTTGAGGAATAAACATACTTTGCATGGAAAAATTCCACACTGGTGAGAGCAGTGCCCTTACCGAGTTTTTACCGATTATGTTGATCTAACGGGAAAAAATTCGAACACTAATCAAGTTAGCCGTTTGCAAGATTCAGTCCTATAGAGTATATTACTAATTATTATTTATTTCTTGATTTTGTTTATATTGACGAGAAACAATTGAAACGTGGGAAAACTAAAATTTATAACAAACATCGTGAATATTTGAGCTCGTTAATTTGACTTCAGATTTTTATTTATTTATTTATTTTTTGTTGTAAAAGAGGATCAAGACTCACATTTTGTTAAAGTTACAACTTTTGGTTTAAGCATACTACCAGAGACGTTGTATTAATTTTTAATATAATCAGTTTATGACAATATAAACAAGATGGTTTGTTTAATCAATAATTATCCAACTAACTTTTATTTAATAATGTTGGTTCCGACTGACAGAGATGGGAAGGAACAATAAACTACATTTGTTCGGCCGAGGTAACTAGTAACAACGGGTTTGACGAAACTATTTTGATATTTACCATTATTTAAATTCATAACAAAATTCAGTCTCTTTTAAATATAATAAGTGAACTATTACAAAATATTTAAAATGAATTAATACAACTTCGTCCATTTCCATAAGTTCATTAAACTTTATAATAAATTATAACATATATTTTTTTATGAAATTATAATACAAGTATTTAAAAGTAATTAGTCTGGATTTCTCGCAGTACTCAATAGCCGTTCCACGCCTATTTCTTATCATATCCCACCAATAACTACAGAACTGGCGTGAGCATCTATTTCTGTGTGGGCTTCGAGTTGCATTCACTGTTTACAAAGTTATAATATAAATATACAAAATTGACTGATTTTTAAAACACTAAATTACAAATATATAAAATTAATTAGTTTGAATTTTGCACAGTGATTGATGTAGTGAATCATTATATTGTTTCACATGACTTCCTTCAATTAGTTATTATTACCAATTATCTCAGAATTATATATAGTGATGGTAATTTTTTATTAGGTTAATTTTTATAACAAAATAGAAAAACAGGATTTATTTGATCTAACCACCTAGTTGTTCAATCATATTATTTATTATTTTTTCTTGTTTTATATTTTGTTTTGGAGAATATTTGCATTGGTCTTTAAGATATTTCTACAAAATTTTAAAATACGTACTGATATTTTATACAATTCCATGAACTGTGAACACTGAACTAACTATGCTTACTGTTGTAGCAAATTATTTTTATTTTTACCGATATCGAATCGAAAGATTCGTTCCCGGGTCGATCTCACGAGGAAGGCTGTTCAGAATTTAGAAATGGTATTGATCACACACAAAAGAAAATAAAATCCTAAACATTATAATCAGATAGCGGGTTTGAGAAATTATCAGCTAAAAAATAATAAAAAGCATAATCTACCTAAATATGAGAACGAAACGAAGATGGAGAAGCTAGGGAATCGGGGGTAATCAATTCAAGTTTTATTCGCAAAATCGAGATATTAATTGTTCGATTTAAGATTGACACTCTCGCATAAACATCTAGTGGTTCCCAATAACTCTCTGTAACAAGGGATTGAACATAGACGAGCAAGTTCGAGCATACGATGCCGGCCTAGAGGTCTGATTCCAATAACTCACGTAACAAAGAATGGGACATAGGCAATCATGTATTTCAATCCAAATCTACAGACTATTCCGTCAGGAAATCATCTATCTTGTGCAAGCCAAAGACTACAATTTTTCCCCTTTCGGTTCCAAAGATTGCTCAAATAAATCAGAGGGTGATTAACCGACTAATTCTTAGAATCAACAAAACCATAACTCGACAAAATCAATATCCAAATATTTCTAATTGCAAGATTGAAGTGTCACCCTTCAATTATATCAATCAATCAAGCAGGTTTCATCAATTCATAACCAAAGCAACTCGCACAAGAACGAACAAATCAAGCCCGACAGATACGAATTAGACAAGAACAATCATTCCTTATCCCTAGCAATTGAAATCAGCTATGTAACATGAATTCAACACAATAAATCAATTCCCTCAATTCAACCATTTTTCATAAATTCAAAAGAAGAGAAAAGAAACTTACAATAATTCCCAATTCCAAGTGTTGAATTTTATTACAAGCTTAATTCTTGAACAATAATAAAAAGAAGAAGAAAATTGGAGAGGAAAGATTAAAGAAAGAAGAAAAAAACAAAGAAGAAGAAATGGGGAAGAGAAGAGAGTTTTCTTGTTTTTTCTCGGGACCTAGGGCTTTCACCTGGTCGAGAGATATCTATTTTTGAAGTCCCGACGTGTATTTATAAGTAACACGGTGAAAAGCGTGAAAATAATGATCTGGCACGCCGTGACGAGGTGCCACGCTGTGCTGGGAGGATGTGCCGCGCCGCGGGCGTATAGCACGCGCGAGAGATGCATATGTCGCGCCGCGGTGAGTGTTGCGCCGCGGCGCGCGTAAATCTGGGAGTCTCTGTCCGGGTCGTGGCGTGCGTCGCGGCGCGGCTGACATTCATCATATTTTCATGCATTATGAGTGATATAGTGTGATGTTTAACCGTGTTTATCGTGGGATTGTGCACCATTTCGTTTGATTTATTAATCTATGATAGAGGTATATTTGTCGCTGGTTTTGTAGGGAATATGCCCGAAAGAGCGTTAAAGATGGAATTGAGACGAAAAACGGCGAAAACAAGGTGCAGGCAGGTCACACGACTTGTGTGGGGTGAAAAGAATGGAGAATTAACTACGGCATTTTCACACTGGTCGTGTGGCTTACTGACACGGGTCGTGTGACCTCACACGGGTCGTGTGACCCGGTCGTGTGACCAGTCGTGTGAGTCTAGGAGTTGGCCAAAAATTCGAGGAAAGTCACACGACTCGTGTGGCATG